GGGGGGGGGACCTCAAGTCAAGTTATTTACAGATCTGAATGTATTCTTCCATTTTCTTTGCATTAGTGAACTAGACATAACAAACTAAGATGGTTTTCTCAATGTTATGGTTTACTGGAGGAAGTTACTCTTGAATTTTGACCAAAGCTGTTTCAGAGAGTCACACGAAGGAGGGACACATACTACCAACATATTTTTTCTATCTCGTTGGTCAAGGAACTTGGCTAAGAAAATAAAAAGGGTTGGGGGTGTATAACGAATAAAAATCAAGAAAGGCCGTCTTTCAGTCTCTCTCTCTCTCCTTTTTTTCTCTTTTCAGCTACGATTTCGTCGAACTTCCGCACAAAAACTACTTCCACGGACGAATATTAACCCTCTTAACCTAATCTGACGAAGAAATTGCTGCACAGAATCACTCGTACAAAAAAAAAAATCCTTTGTCACCGCCGATTTGTTTTTACGGTCAAACTACTTCTTTACAAAAACATCTTTATTCCATGAAGTTGATGTGGCCGTGAAAAAGATTTTTTCTTCATTACGGGCTAGCAAATGGAACATATGATTAATAAAACTATTGTAATCATTATCTGCCCTTTCACTGTCGAAACTCTTTGAATTGTTCACGGATCTAAGCATCTTTGTAACCCTTGATCGCATTCGCTACAGATAAAACCAAGCAAAGAGAATAGAATCGCAAAAATTATATACCAACGAACAAAAGAGATTATATCAGCAACAGCCACATTTGTCAGCAAGAAGTTGGCGGTCGTATGCATAGAGATTGTTTTCCAAGCGATTATTACTGCCAAGCCATTGCCGGTCCATTACACCAATAACAACCACAATCGCATACAGGATCAAGAAGGTATAGAGGTCTCTCACATCAATTGAAGAATCAGCCATGTTGTTTTTTCGTTTATTTGCTTACAGCTCTAGAACAACTGATTCCATGACCAAAAATTGAGTGTAATCGACCACCTTAGGGAAGATTTCGTTGACGTCATCCATTGACATTTTTATGGAAAGCCGTAGGGCTGTTATAAGAAGTTCTTTCTCTTTTACTATTTGGGACTATAATATCATTCTAAAAATAGTGTGTTTATGCAGATCTCACTACTAAAAATACGCCCTTATCAGTTTGATGAATCTAATTAAAATTTAATTATGACTATAGCATAAGGGAGACAAACTTCTTCTTTCGATTCGATTTAAGTTCGTTTTCAGTTTCACGGGTAAGGTGAGATTTTATCGTTAATGAAGAGAACTGTGAAATGACTAAGCTTGAGAGCAACGCTTCTTGAGACGAAACAAACAACGTCTTTAACGTCAATAATTAAATGAAGGGTCTTGCAATAAATGTTAAAAGGGGGCCATAAATAAACTGAATTCAGTAAGGTGTTTGCATTATAGCGTTGCTTTGAGTTTCACGTTTTGTTAATAACTGTAAGATTGCAAGGCCGTCATATGTTAAAAATTATTTAAAATCAAAAAAGGTTTTAAAAAAGATATGAGGCTGCTGGGGCTATAACAATATTCAAAAAAAGAAAAAATAACGATTAAGTATCGCAGTCTTTGCGCGACTCAAAGGTCTCAATTTGTGTCAGGCCAGAAAGAACGAATTTTTTAAGTAACGGGGGGTAAAAGTTGGACGATACCAATGTGATGTGGTGTATGATAATGGCTCGGAAAGTCGCTACATTACTGAAGAAAGGTTCATAGGCGTCCTGCCTGGAAAAAAAAATGTGAAATTTAGGGTTCTGCGGCGCATAATAGGACACTTTCTCCAGCATTCACTCAAACTTGTGTGTGTGTTTTTTTTTTCAGTCTTTCAACGTGCCCGGTTTTTTATTTGCCCTTTCTATCGCTTACATCCACGTAGCATAGCGTAACTCTGTCTCTTGAGTGTTCATCTCATTATCTCTTATCAAAAACGTTTTTGTTTTGACAATCTAGCGTCAACTACCTACTAGATATCTTCAACATAGACGATAACATTTCTTTCTCCGTCTTTGGCTTTAAAAAGGTTATTTTTCAAAATCTAGTGGTTGCTGATGACAATAAATTCTTCTAAAGGGAAGCTTTTACCTCCACGAAGTACGTTCAGTTGTTAAAATTAAACCATATTCAGGAATGAATATGGTTTAAATGAATGAATGAAAAGAAAAAATGTATTTTCCCTGAGACATTAATAAATGATCTTCCCAGCACTTAAAATTAGAGCAGGCATGTATAATTTATGGGACAAATAGCTGCTTTCTGCAGGCTCCATACAAACTTTTTTTTGTTATTTAAGTGCGCCAACCAACCAGGACAAATAACCTCTTGTTTCAACGCACTTAAGTTTTGCTTTGGGCAAATTGAAATCATGGCATGGCGTCATTCATATCATTTCTGCCTATGGAAGATGATGCTTTTTCCGCCCTCTGTTTGTTCAGTTGGTAAATTGAATTTCCTCACCGAAAACGAACAAAAACATGGCAAATTTTTCCATCGATGTGACAAGTCTGTATCACTCGCTTTCACCGTTTAACATCACGTTATTTATCCTGTATGCGATAATGGTGGTCATTGGTTTAATTGGCAATAGTTTCGTGGTAATAATCGCTTGGAAAACGATCTCGATGCACACAGCAACCAACTTCTTGCTGTCGAATGTAGCTGTGGCAGATTTTATCTCTTTGGTTTGGTGCATAATTCCCTTAGCTACCTGCCTCTTTGCCGAGCATCCAAGCGGACAAGTGGGGACGTACCTTTGTAAGTTTTTCACAGGATATGCAATGACGAGTGTTTCCGTTACAGTTAAACTTTCTAGTCTGCTCATCGTTGGAATCGAGCGGTATCGTGCAGTCATCAAGCCTTTACAGAATGACTACCACCTAGAACATATTGGCTATATGATAGGCTCTCTTTGGATATTTGCTGTAATTTTTGCCCTGCCTGGTTTTATTTACAGTGAATACGATGATCAACTTAAAAGATGCGTTGATATAGGGTCAATCGAGAGGACGGCATCTGTGAAATGGCTCGTCACAAGTATGACAGTCGCGACGGCCGTTTGTTCAACTTTTTTATTCTTATCCTATTTCCAAATACTTAAAGGCATTTATATCACCAAAACAGTTTGTGTTGAATCAGCAGCAACGAGACACGCGGATATGAAGGCAAAAAGAAAACTCGCTATAATTTCTTTGACAGTCACAGTAGCCTACATTATCTGCAACGTACCATTTTTGGTTTTTGAGATGTACACAGCTTATACCGAAAGGGAGAAAATTATAAATAACTATGTGACTATATACAGAGTTTATCGCATTCTGGGACTTCTTATGTACTTCAACTCATGTTTAAATCCGTTTCTTTATGCCTTTCAGAGCTCTAATTATAGAAAGAACTTTAAAAGGATCTTTCTTCGCAGAATAACTGAACTGCACGATAATAGTATAAATTTAGAGGTTTTTACTGGAGGTTGATGTTATCTCATGGGCAAAAAGCAGCAGAAACAGCTAAAAAAAATTTTTCTCATCAAATTGCCGATTACGATGTTACTAATTAGGCCTTACTTTCCAAAGAAGTGTGAGTTGGATGATCGTTTTACTTGCAAATGCACATTTTTAAATTATCGGCAGGAAGAGCTGACTAAAGTGTGTTTTGATTGGTGATACCATCTCCACGGAAACGTTTTGGGTGAAAAGACGCTCAATAAAATAACAACCACTAAAGGTCATATCTTTTAGCCAACGGCTATTTTGAAATAATCATTAAAAAATTTCTGTCTTTAAATGAAAGTGAAAATGTTCTGTGCTGCTTTGAGCCGTCTTGAATCTTTTTTATATCCAACAGATTAGTGCTCCACTAAGGTCCCGTTCCATGGCTTGTTGGGGTATAAAACGCTATTGTGATCTTTCAATACCGAGAATTAAATTCTCTTTTTTTCAGAAAATGGTGGCAAAAAACTATCAACGAAGATTCGCCAAACGGACCTTTCAAGAGCCTTTCCAAGTCACCATTTTTTTCTCGTTGCCATGCACCCACCAATAACGTAGCTCCATTTTCTGCCTTTAAAAGCACACACAACCCACAATTCCTCTATTCGCTCCGACGAAGGGCTAACGCTCGAAACGTCAGCTTTTGTAATCATTACGGTGGCCAATTTATCATTTCAACTTTGTTGATATATCCAAATTATTTTCCTATTGAGGCCGCAATGACAAGTATTGGTTAGATCGTGTCCCTGATTCAAAGTTACAGGTGGGGGAAGGAAAGTAGTTGATATCTTTTCTTCCGGTTAGCTCAATTGGTTAGACCGCTGGACTGTTGTGCGGGAGGGTCGAGGTCGATGGTTCGAGCCCCGGCCGGACCAACACTCCAAGTCTTAAAATAACTGAGGAGAATGCACTACCTTTCTATAATATCAAGAAATGGATAGACATTCTAGTCTTTTCGGATAAGGACCAATAAACCATGCATATCGTCCAGCTAACTGCTGGACACCGAGGCAATGGAAATAGGTGGTACTTGAACAATGGGCCAGCGTAGGCTGTATACTTACTGATGCATAACACAACAAGGTGTTGCACGATGCGGTAGTACAACTTTTAAATAAGTTTCCTGTTGATGGTGGTGTAATATACTTACTCTGCTGTTTGGCCCTTGGTGAATGATTTGAACACATTCCAGCGTAGCCCTGATATAACAGTTTTCAGGACCAGAAATGTTAGGGGAATTTAATGGATTGATGAAGGTGTTTATTGTCTGCAGTGTTCCTTATGCTGCAGTCCAACTGTCGAGCTTTGGTCAGAGTTGTGTTTCATAGTTTGCTGCGCTAAGCTGTCAGCTATAGTCGT